GGAGGGAGGGAGGGAGGGAGGGGTGAGTGAGTTTGAACAAACTTGAGGAAGTTTCTGGTAATTTAACTTTCATCTCTGAGCTGAGTACCCAAAGTAAATGTCCTATAATTGGGCAACAGAAATCTAGGACTGCTGAGATAGAGAATAAAGCCAGGAATCAAGGTGCAAATTTAAGGTCTTCCACTGCAGAGTGTACAAAAACACAAAACCAAAAACAAACAATCCCTGGGATTCAATAAGCCAAATAAAGGGATAAATACCCAACAAGCAAGCAAATGAAAAGGGCGCACAAAGATGTATAATTAAAAGGAAGAATCATTAAGCTAACAAAAGAAGTCAGCAATGAATAAAATATTTACAGCTCCAACACTAAGTGAAAAAATTATTCCACAGCTTTAAAGAAAGATGATATATATATCTAGTATGCTAAAAGGAAACATACCCAGGATATTTCCTTCATTAAAAAGCAGAATGCAGGGTGGCGCCTGTGGCTCAAAGGAGTAGGGCGCCAGCGGCCCCATATGCTGGAGGTGGTGAGTTAAAACCCAGGCCCGGCCAAAAAAAAAAAAATGCAGAATATAGGCTCTCCAATTTCCTGTAGTAAAGACAAAACGCCCCCAGCCAGGAAATAGAGCCTACATAAAAACAATGGCTGCAATCTGGGGCTCACAAGAAGTAAAAGAAACCTCCAAGAGATCCACACACCCTCAAAAGTGAGCAGAAAGCAGTGTCGAAATGTGGCTACTGCTGGTGTAAACCAACGCTACTACTGTCAGCGGCAAAACCACCGAGCCTGCAGGACTAGTGACCGCTGCAGGAGGAAGGAAACAAAAGAAAACTTGTAAGATCAGCTGTTTAGAAACTCACAATCCATCATCACCAGTCTCAGAAACAAATGTAAAATCCCCAAGGATTTCAGACAATGAGATAAAAAATTTAGAATAGCAATTTGTGAAAATTTTAAAGGAAAAAAAAGATGAGAATTTAAAAACTGAGCAAGCAATGAGTTTTTTAGAAATTATAAAAATGCATAGAAAGTATAAACATGAACTTTCAGAAGCAAAACATATAATTGCTGAATTAAATATCCTAGTGGAAGAAATATTAAACAGTAAAGAGAGAGTTATTGAATTGATGCAAGACAGAGCTGATCAAACTGTCCGGAATGCACCAGAGGGACAAGGAGGATGGAAGGCAGGACAGGAAGCTCTAGAGACTTGGAAGACAGAATGAGAAAGTCGAAGGTGTCACTACCCAGAATTCTAGTAGAATAGAGAACAGAGAATAAAATGTGGCAATATTTGGAGAAATGATTGTCAAGAATTTTCCTGAAATGACAGCAGATGAATACCCACAGACGCATGGCACATAACAGGCACCCAAAGGACAAAGGCACAAGCAACTGATACCTGACGACCCTGCAGTGAAACTGACAGACAAGAACGAAGAACAGCAAGAAGAACAAGACCGGACGGACAGAAAACTTCTCAGCAACAACGAGAGACAAAATATAATACAGAAGAGTTTCCATAAGAAGGGGGAGGGTGAGGGGAAAGAAACAATTAATCTACAGTAATTGAGCTGTTGCAGTACTGTCCAGAGAGACAGAGTGACCAGCGAATCAGAATAAGAAGCACCAGCTGGCATGGAGGCTCCCACCTGTAACCTAGCACTCTGGGAGGTGAGGCAGGAGGATCTCCTAAGGTTAAGAGTTTGTGACTGGCCTGAGCAAGAATGACACCCTGTCTCTACTAAAAATAGAAAAAAATCAGCCAGGCATGGTGGTGCATGCTTGTGGTCCCAGCTACTTGTGAAGTTGAGACAGGAGAATGGCTTGAGCCTAGGAGTTTGAGGTTGCTGTGAGCTATGACGACACCAGTACACTCTAGTCCAGGCGACAAAATGAGATTCTATCTCAAAAATAAATAAATAAATAGTAACACCAAAGAAATCTTTGCACATCTAGGAAACAGCATATATGAGAGAGAGAGATGGCATTTCAGACCAATAAAAGAAAAATGGATTCAATAAATGGGACCTGGGACAGTTATCTACTGACAGGGAGCAGAGGAATGGAATTGGATCCCTAGCTCACGTTATAAACAAAAATCATTTCCAGATGGATGAAAGACTTAACTGTGCAGAGCAAAACTAAAACAAACCTCACAGGATAGATATATGGTAATATTTTTATCCCTGTGTAGTTTAGATTTTTAAAGATCCCATAACACACTAACCATTAAAGTAGTAACAGAGAATATCACAATGAAGAACTTCTATTAATCAAAAGACACTAGAGAAAGTAAAAATATAAGCCACACATCAGAAGAAGGTATTTGCTGCAGACATAACCGAAATAGGATCAATATTCAGACAAAACAAATAACTAGTGTAAATAAAAGAGAAAAAGATAAATCAATAGGGAAATGACCAAAGACACCCGCAGGCATTTCAGAGATTAAACAAAAAAGGCCAATAACTGCATGGGAAGAAATTTATATCTTGTTTGTAATCTGAGAAATGCAAAATAAGAGACCCCATTTTCACTCAACTCTACACGCTGCTTACAGAATACAAGTGGTGTGACCACTTTGGAAAAGAAGAACATTTTTCTATTCTACAACTCATTAATTCCACTCCTAGGTAGCCCTACCAC